GCTGAGCCCTGACATAGGGTTTCCCTGCATCGGCTGCATGGTTGTAGCACCCTCATCAAATGTTTCCCACTGCCATATGAGGGAAGGAGCGAGGAGTCAAATTCCAGTCACTTGTTATAAAAAAGAAAAATAAAAAGTCAGCTTGGAATCTAGGAAGAAACCCAATAGTTCTTTCACACACAGAAGGCTTTAGCAGTTCATGTTGGATATGTATTTTGGATTCCAGAACAACCTCATTTTTTTAATTTTAGATGCATGGAGTGTTATTAGTAATGCAGGGATTTGACATTTGATATATAGAAATTATTTGCTATTTTCCTCTGAAATTCTTATAAAAAATATAAGGCCAGAAGGAACGAGTCCTGAAGTGCAGCAGAAATAGATGACACACACAAGGCGTTTCAGCCACACAAACATTCCTAGTCAACTAAACACTGTGTACATTAGGAATTGGCTTTCCCCCGGAGAGTAGGAGGAGGGCTCAGACAGGCTGTCCGCTCCACGAGGGAGCTGGCACTGCTTTCGTTTGCTCAGAGGCGAATGACACGGGCTGCAGCCTGTTTAAAACAAGCAGGTGTCTCCTTGTCACAGCTGCTGCGGTGTCCCCATCATGTGTAAACTCATTTCACAAACGCCCAGAAACTGGAGTAGAGGAGGTTGTCCCAGAAACACCCCTCTGGCCTGCTGGATCCTGCCCTACAAATTCCCATACTGCTTCCAGTTTATCCCCATGTTGCATTCCTGTGAATTCAGACAGGGACGGTAAAGGCGAACGTTGGTAGCTCTGCATGAATAACCTATTAAGTCAGACTCTGGTGAGGCTTCATATCGGGTATCCTAATTTTGGTGTCCTTTCATGCACCCTTTCGCTTCAGCCTAAGCCCTTTTTCTCCAGGGGAGTGTAAACCTTTATGTCTGGTCTGTGAGAGTAGTTTGAGGCTCTGCTATGGACCAGACTCGAGAGGGGAGGTGACCTGGGATAGTTGGGCTGCATAGCTCAGGATGCAGCTGAGTGTCTGCCAACATGCTCCCCTCCACGCTCCCTTGGAAGGCGCTGAGAGAGGAAAGCTGATGAAAGCTCTCATATTTCCATCAGGAGAAAAGCCACAAGCATCTCCAGCTCCTGCTAACTTGATGCATCCAGCTCCTCTCCTCAAAGGACTCAGCCTGAGGAGCACTTTTGTAACTTGGCCAAGGTGTGCCTCCAGCTTGGGTGGAAAGCTGTCATCAGTGACAGCACTTGGTGATAGAAAGGGAGCAAAACAATTCTGCTGAAGAGGGGAAAGGATGCCTGTATTTCTGTCTAAGGCTTCCTGGACAGACCTGTTGCTGAGTGTTTTGCACAGGGAATCTGCAGTTCGTTGAGTACCCAGGAATCAGGCAGCGATACTCAACACACTTCTTGTGACCAGGAGTGGTGTGTTGGGATCAGTCCGCTCCCCAGCCCCTCTGCTTTTCCTCTGACACCTGTCACTTGATGCGGCTGAGCAGCCCCCACCCCATCATGTGCATTTGTCTATAGCAGAAATACCTGCCCATGAGCATCACAACTAATATGAGATGAAGAATTCTGAAAACACTGGATTAATTTGCAAATTACCATCACGTGTCCTGGGCATGTCAGCACAGTGGATGTGTCTGGGTTTCTAGGAAACACCTGACAAGCCTTCATTTTCCATCTGGATGAGGTTTTTGCAGGCAAAAAGAGAACACATGTAGAGAAAGGTAGGCACTTCAGAACCCAAATAAAACACACCGAGGTCTGCCCATCCAGGGGTGGCCCAGCACAGCCCAAGTGTCAATTTGCCATCTTTCCACATAAAGGCTGAGTGACCTAGAAATTATTGACTTGGATCACAGAGTTGCATGAAAGGGACAGTCAACCTTAAGTGAGCTGTTCAGATACTCATTATAACCAGTGGTGCTTTATCAAAGCTGCTCTGATAAGTTCAGGCTGCGCTGGACTGTCCATACAAGTACCCTCCATCAAGCCAAGATGAATTGCACCCTGGCTGCCCTGACTCGCTCTGCACTGATGATACCTGCCAGTTTAACTCCTCTACTTGATTGCTTGCACCCTCCTAACCTCCTCCAGGATGGAAATAAGCCTCCACAGTAGTTTCAGGTATTTAATGAGATGCCATTAATGAGCACTAACAGCTCGTTATCTGCATTGGTCTGACTGCTTATGATTGCCTGTTCATAACCCCAAGGTGTCTTTTAAAAACTGTGAGGCCCACAGTTTCAGGGGTGGACAATGGTGCTGACTGGTCCACTTTAAAAAGTGCTTGATCATTGATGCAGATTGCTGAGCCCTTAAAATGTCAGACCTGTTTAAAGAAATTGACCCTGGGTACCCCCAAAGAAGCATTTGGAAAATCTGGACCTTCATCCATTCATAACACAGAGCCACATTTTAGCTGCATTGCGTCATGACTGTGTAGTAGCCAGGGCCACCAAGGTGCTGCATTTCTAATACAGATGTGACTGCAGATGTGACTGTGACATCAGTCATTAGAGCAGCATTACAGACCCTGACACATTCGTTAGGACTTCTCAGCCAGGTCAGGAGTGTTCATTGACAGAAAGACCAGAAATCTCTCTTCAATTTTCTCAGTTTATGCTGTGACTGTTGAAATAGAAACACTTTTTCCAGGTTCCCTGAACAAATGCAAGAGCTGGATTGAGGGAGGAAAGTTGCAATGAATATCTGTTTCCTCTCTGCCTTCTCTCTCTGCAATCTGATACTGCTGTGCAAAGTGATTATAAAACCATGCTAATAAAGAAAAACAGAATTTTTATCCCATCATAGTCCCTCGCAGCACAGAACCAAAGTGCAGACAATGGAGAGCTTAAGCCCATTGTTTTCAGAGAATAAATCAGTTTCAATTTTGGAAGCAGTATGGGATGGGTTTTAAATCTTTGCCTTACTCTGCCAGCTCCAATAACAGAGCACAGTTTCTGCCCCTCCTATGCCTGGAGAACTCATTGCTCTCAGCCCAGCCTCTCCCCATCCCTTGGACACTGTGCCCATGGACGCTGCACCGTGCAGAGCATGCACACACACACCAGCACAAGGCTGGGCAAGGACCCCAGAAACACACGTGGCTCAGTCATGCAGTGCCTCGAGCCAGCAGTGAGCATCTCATGGGGGCTGCTGCTCCACCAGAGGAGAACTCTGGATGCTCTGAGGTCAGGAGAAGGTGGGAGGGGCTAAGGACGGTTAATTAGGAAGATCACCTTATATTCAGTGGGCTTAGTCAGAGGAGCCTTGCTGGCCTTGATCGGTAAGGAACAATCTTCAGTGTCCAGCCAGAGACCCTGATCCCACCCACCTTCCTCCGCAGACAACCTCTTCCCCTTCCCACAGTCAGCCGGGCTGTTTGCAGGGATGAGGAGTGCTTCCATGTGTACGGCAAAAACATAGAAAATCTTTCACAGGATCCAAGGCAGCTGGAAAGAAATGTGTCTCTGCTGCTTTGGAAACAGGGAGAGAGGACCCAGCCTAATTCATTTTTAAGTGAATAGTGTCATAAGGGCTTTAAAGGCCAAGTCGCGGTGAGTGAGGTAATGCAGCTGTAAGTGATGAAGCAAAAGCTCCTTCAGGCTTCAGCTGAAGAAATCTTTCTTTCAGGGCTGCACATTGACCCTTTTATTGGATACTCCGCACAGCCTTCGAAGCCTTTAAAATATACCCGTCTTTTTTACAGACTCCAACACTGCTCTGAGGTATTCCCTAGTGCCTCCAAATACCTATCTGTTTACTTGCCTGTGGGGCTGCCAACAACCTCACAACACAAAACCTCACCGAGATCTTGATCTACAGGAGCAGATAAGGGGTCTTTAGGAGGCAACTGGCTTTGTCTGAAGCAAAACCGTTTGGATGAGGGGGCAGTACTGAAGTCTGAGGAAGGATTTCGGTTTTCTCCAGTAGCTGGTGCACAGATTTAACATATTCACAGATAGGCTGACCATTTTAAAAGGTAGCAAAATACACTTTTAACGGTCAAGCTGTTTCCAAACAGACTGAAAGGAGCACTGTGTTCATCAGGGACTAGGATGGCCTCTAACATGCTGCACAAAATATACAAAAGCTGCTTTCTTTCAAAGTGTGTTTGAATTGGCACTGACCTGGTGCTCTAATACCTACCTGTACATAATCCACGCTTCTCCCCAGTGCTTTGAATGCTGTGTACATTACTTCTCTTTTTCCACCCCACTTCTGCATGATGCAAACACTTTTGTTAGACAGGACCAGCTGAGATACATGTTGCTTGCTCTCTCTGTGAGACTCCTCCGTCTCACCCGGACCTTTGTCGTGGAAGTTATTACTCCAGATATAAGTGGCAGATTTGTCCCTACCCATGATTTCAGTAAAAATGTCCATCATGTAAACATCATCTTCTGAGTTCCCATCAATGACCATAACAACTTTAATTCCAGGGTAGGTCAATCTTTTCACAGAAAGTAAACATTTTCTTAAGTAGTCAGGATCCTCTTGATAGGCAGCAATACAAAGGGCAACTGTTTTGTTCAGCTTGATTGGAGTCTCTAGCGACCGCTTCATTTTCCTGTGCTCTAGGAAGGCAAACAGGCTTTGGATGATGAGATGTGATGCCAGGATAGCACCATAGAGTCCAAAGGAGAAGTAGTAGTTGTCTGTTTGGATGAACTGGTAGCCCACAATGTAAGCAGCGGTGATTCCCAGCAGGAGGGACACCCCAAAGAGTGTGGTTCCAAGTATTCTCAGGATACATATAAACCTCTCACAATACATCTGCAAAGAAGCATAGAAACTGTTAGCAGAGCTACTATGTGCTGATAGAAGGCCTCATAAAGAGTGTGCATGGCTACAACATAGAGCTCAGCATCAACAGAAACACCCTGTGCTTCTGGCTGTGTCATGGACTTACTGCATCACCTCACTCAAGTCAACATCTCTTAGCAGTACTTCCTCTGTGTAAAGGTTCAAATACACTTAACGTACTAGGGATGCTTTCTGCTATTTGTAATGTCCTCACAGAAGGTTCTGTCTGTGTCAGCATCTTATTTTTGGCAGCTTAGGCTGGCTAAATGAGATGCTGTCATATTACCCTGAGGGGGGTGGAGAAGGGGCTTTTGGGCCACCACTCGCTTCATATGGTCATGGGCAAGTGGAACAGCTGAATGTCTGGGCAGCCCCTCCTCATCTCCCATCCCTGTCATGACTGCATCTTGCCCTGAATGGCTTCTGTCGCTTAGTTATGTTTGGAAAAATATTGGAAAGACATTCTTAAAACAGATGTCTGAATGTATTTATAATTTTTTAAGCAGATGTCTGACTATATTTATAATTTATATTTATATAATCAGACATCTGCTTTAAAAGATATTCTTATAACTGTTGCAAAAATGTATTATTCATACAATTGTGTACATAGATATATGCACGTGTGAGCATGCGTGTATAGGGCTAAAGCTTGACTGAGATTAAGTCTGTGGCATGACTACACATTAATTTAACAGAGCCAAGACTCCACCTTGGACTCAGAAATTCATTAAAACATCAGTTGATTCCTGACAACTTCTGCATATTTAGGTTATGCAGAATAACCTAAATAATCTGGCTGCAAAATCTTCTAACCTAAGCTCTGGGTTACGGAGAAGCTGGCTGGCATGGAGGATGCTCCAGTATTCTCTAGACAAACAGTGTAGGCAGGCAGACTACATTGCAGACTAGATGGTTACCTAACTGCTTTTTGTTGCCAATCACACTAACCATTTTATGCAACAGCTTTCTCAGAATTACAGGAAAGCTAATGACAATGTTTTATGTCAATTGATGTGTTTGACGTTAAGGACACAAAACAGATAATGTCTGTTTAAGGCGAACCCAGCAAGTGCATTGCAAGTCAATGAATCTGAAACTCATGCCTGTATATGTCACTGAATTAGGGCCTCTCAGAGTAATGGACTTAATATTTTTGTTTTCTTACTACATTTCATATTTCCCTTGCTGCTATCATCTTCCTCATTTACTGATCATGTTTGTCTCACTATCTGTTGTCCAAAGCTGAAGTTGGAACAGCACTTCCTTACATCATATATATATTTAACTCTTTCTTGAAAAAATACTACCAAGCTGCAGCAGCATAGCTGTCATCAATTATATTTCTGTCTGAAAAGTTACTGGCTTGGGGGGAAAAAAATTCAACACATAATCATGTAAAAAAATAAAAATAAACCAGGCGAGCATAAAGTCTGAAGTTACAAAGACTATGCTTTTTTTCCACTGGCTATTTAGGGTGTTAAATTTCAAGACAGGATGAAGCCTCTTAAACGTATATTTGGAGATACTGTCAAAGAAATCGGACCCTATCTCTAGAACTTCCTTGAATACTTATGGCTGAGCTCCAACAGGTGCTGTAATCACCCACCAGCAAAAGGGACTGTCCCTGCTCTGCTCTGTCTGAAAGCCTTTCACAACAGGGGTCATAGAGAAGCCTCATAAAGATAGCTTATGCTTACCACCACTATAGGTGAATTAAAACTCAGTGCCCAAAATAGATTCACTTTAGAAAACAGATTAAGTAATGGATCTCCTCTAGATTACCATGAAGTCAAATAGCCTGTGTGTTTATTAATCCCTCAAGCATACAGAAAGTCACAGACATCAAGGTAAATGTTTCATTAACGGTGCAGTTGTACTCTGCTTTCCCATTTGGGGTCCACTACTTCTCTTCTCTTGCCAGAAATAGAAAATTCCTGTTAGTGAGTAGGGGCTAAAGTCCGCTTACATTAAGAGTTATATGGCTGAAATCAATGGACCACTTGTATGGGTAGAGCTCACAGGATTTTGATTAAGGTCTGGAGCATTTAAATTTGACTGACTATATACTGTACCAAGTTTCTTTCATATTAATTTGCTATTGAATTTTCTCTTCCTGTGAAGTCTTTCTGCACAAAAGGAAAAAAAAAAAAAAAAAAAAAAAAGATGAATTCTCTGATCTTGTCATTACAGCCCAGCTTCCCTCCCTTGCAAAAAAACAGTCTTCTAAGATCAAGAAATGGATTTCTGGTCTTAATAAAGCAGCATTTTTTTTCTATCCTTTCACTGACAAGCTTGGGAAAATAAACTGTGTTTTGATCTAAATTCCTGGCTTTTATCAAAGAAACTTTCCCCTTTGTATGTGCAATTGAGCTTTTTATGTATAGTCTTTTAACAGACTGAATCTCAGGGAAATTCTGTAAAAAGTTGCTCAATATTTTCAACTTCAGCACGTGAGCTATTGATAACTTGCCCAGCAGAACTGATTTTTATCAACTTGAATGTGCCCAAACAACGGTGAAGAAGCCAAAAAGTCTCCACCCTTCTCCAATAATTGAGCCAAGAAGCTAAAAGGAAATGATGGTTGTATAAGTCTGGGACCAAAAATTAACTGCTGAGTCAAATAATAGCACGAAAGGTAGAGATCTCTCTCTGCAACAGAAATTTTAAGATCAGGCAGTGACATTATGAGTATCTAGCCTGGCCTAACACAGTGAAATGTAAAAGGACATCCTTAGTAAGACATCAGTTGGAACTGATTCCTTAAGTTTCCTGAACTGGGCACATGAACCAGTGTACAGTACTGTACAGTACTGTCTTTTAACAGTGTAAGCCTAGAATAATGCCATGCTGAGTCAAAATCCACATGTCAAGTGCTCAGTGAAGGGCAAGCACACATGTTAAATTCCAGAGCCACAATTATTGTTCAGTTATTTCATTGATAAACACTCTTTCTATGTACTAGTAATATTCTTCCAGGAAAATGTAATTGCTTATATTCAAAATTGACATCAGTACAGACCTATTCAACAGCTGAATAATTGGCGGGGGATACCGTACACGCCTCATATGATCAGCACAGCTTAGTGTTTTGTTTATGTCTCAGCCTAATGGATCTTCAGGGATCTTGAGGGATTTAACCCAGTAAGTTTGTCTTGGGAAATAGGCACCACAGCACTTAAAAAAAGAAAAAAACTCACTGCCTAGGCTAGGGGTGAGCGACATGGAAGACATGCAGCCAGTCTGTATTCCTGGATCAACAAGGATAATTGCAAGTCATTTATGTATAGACATGGAACTGCTGCTACATGGGAAGAGGTGTCAGAGTGAGGAGAGGGACATGGCTCCTCACCTGGTGAGAAGGTGAGTAGGTGGGTTACCTCACTGTCTCTGGAGTCAAACCTGGATCTTGCACTTTCTGAGAAGGTTTTTAACCAGTTCTGTAAGGCAGGAGGAGGAAGATAGTGCCTATGATTGTTTGTTTTTGGTTTTTTTAAGAGTGAAACCTATTTAGCACTGAAAGAAGTCAGAAGGTCCATTGCTTTGCATCAGCCCTGAAGGACATTTCCAGGAGGCAGTAAAATTGAAGATTCGAGTGTTCAGTGAGGAACTGCAGACATTAATTACTTATTATTAAAGTCTGTCCTACCCAGAACAGTGGCTCAGTTTGACTTTCTTTGGAGGTATCTACGCCCCCCCTGTACTGCACAGGAAGCCCGTAACAGGACAGCTAATTCTACTCTGCAGTTTCAGCACCTAAATCCTTTATGTGCACCTTCACCTAACCCTGCAGTACTGAACCCAGTACAAGCTTTACGCAGCCTCCAGTACACAGGGTCAAGGTTTGTGTGCATATGATGAGTGCATGTAGAGAGGCTTCAAAGTCTACTAGTGAGAAATTTGTTGTCATGATCTTGGAGCTGTTTATTTCCATGGATGGAGCTGGTCAGTGCTAGCCAGCCCATCTAGTAGAAATTAAATATGAAAGCTGTATGCTAAACCCTTATGCTATGCATGCTGTTGCTGATTCAGTGACACATTTTGATTCATCAAGCAGCCCCAAGTATATATGTGCCTTGTATTGACTGTACAGGAGGAGGGAACGTGTGTCTCTTTTTGGAAATTCCTATGGAAAAGCATGGCCAAGAAATGTACCCTTGCATGTACTTCTAACATCTTTTTCATAAAAAATTTCAGGTTAACAGAGTTGACTGATACCTACACTGCACATATAATGACTGGAGTATTAACTCTAACACTAGAGACCACGCTCCTTTCTCAGACTGAATAATGCCTTAGATCTCAAATTAGAAGCACATAGCAAAATATGTTGGAGTTCTCTCTACTCTGAAAAATATTTAGGCTAGCATTTAACTGTAGTTACAGTATGTAGATCTAACTTTAATAAGATCTAGACACTTGACTGAAATTCAGTAGGTTTTTACATCCTGGATCTTTACTCAGCGAAGAACACTGCTGACTTCCATGGTAGAGTACCACTTTTTCCTCTCTCCAAAGTCATATAGCAGAGTTCATCCACATGGTAATTAATCAGGTTTCATGCATTGCTGAGAGTAACAGGACCTGGAGATAGTTCATCCCTTTGCAAAGTCAGGAGGCAAAGAGGAAGAAAAAAGCGTAATTTGTTACTAATATGTCAAGAGAGTAATAAACAGCATAGGGACAAATTCATATCCAGAAAACCTATGTGTATTGGTGTCTGAACACATCAACAATATCTGCTGTTTGTTCATTTATTCTGCAACAGGCATTGCATAGCTGCCCTGAGGACTAAGGAAGCAATCGGGTTGTCCCCTGCACCTGCTAATACAGGATGTGGAACCAGACACTGACAGGACATCAAACTGAAGTTAGGTTTGCTTGCAACAAATGGGATACAGCTCATTACATCATCTGTTTTAGAAGTCATCTCTCATGTACAACACTCAAACGTACTGTCATGCCATATT